CATGCTAATTTTATTCTCTGATTAGTCCAAACCACAGTCAGTGATAACAAAACCATTCTCAAACAACCAACCCTAGGTTCCCCTCATGATTTTCAAACAAATCCAACACGGATATGATTTTCATGCAATACAAAATTACCACATGTCTATCTATAGACGGAGTATTGAAAAAGAACAAAGAAATCCCTACCTCAAATGGAGAAGATGAAGGCCAAAAACCAAAGTGCTCCAAATCGCCAAACTTTCAGATTAAAATGAAGCCCTCAACCCACTCTACCTTTCTTACAAAGGACTTAGTATAGATTTACACTAGAGGGAGATGAACAAGTGATATTGAAAGGTTGTTATTAAAGCCCATTAATTGGAAAATGAAAGGACAAGTTAGAATTAAATGGACACTAACTAGCATTAAATGAACACTAACTAGAATTAAATGAACACTAGTTAGAAATATGAATGGACCACTAATAAGGGTAGTAACTGAACTACTAATAAGGATATTAAATGAACAAGTTTGTAACCACTAATAAGGATATTAAATGAACCACTAATAAGGATATTAAATGAACCATTATGAAAATTTAATGGACACTAACCCTTGGTTTCCAAACACAACCAACGTGTTTTAAACCTACCCAACACGACCCAAGACTCATATACAAAGAGTAAAGGATGGAAACTAGAAAAAGACAACAACACATCCACGGAACCGAGTCTGAAATACAATTAAACAATGAAAGGAAAACTGGGATCGCTATAGCTAGGAAATGTGGGCTGTGTAGAGATGATGTCAGCAGGATGGAAAATGATGTCAGCGGCGCACGTTAGCAGAGAGGGCATGCGGCGCACGATAGCAGAGAGGGCGCGCGGCGTATAGTAGCAGAATGGCGCACGCGGGTGTACAATAGCGGAACGGCACACGCGGGTGCACAATAGCGGAACGGCGTACGAGCGGCTCACGGTAGACGAATGGCGCACGCGGGTGCACGGTAGCAGGCGCGGCGCACGAAAGGGCAGAGTAGAAGGCGCGTGAAGGCGTGTGTGAGCGTGGCAACGGAAGCAGCGACGCGCCGAGCAAAGAAGCGGCGCGTGAGAGTGCGTGGGAGAGTTTCTGGTGACGGGCTTGGTGCTGTTGGAATCGTAAGGAGATTCCGAGCTGTTTGGTGTAGTTCCACTGTGTACGGGACTAGGCACCAAAATTAAAGAATGCCAGAATTGTATTACTGGGCTCTGATACCATGAAATAATAGTTTGAGAAAGTGAGAGAGGATAGAGAGAGAGAGAGAGAGAGAGAGAGAGAGAGACAATGTATTGTTTGTCTGTCAATAATATGTATATTACAAAGAGAATGCTACACTCTCTTTATAGAGAGAATTATGGTGCATTGGATGCTTGATGCACACCGAAAGCATAAACATAAAGAATAAAGTGTTAAAGCTAAGTAATAATTAAAGCTAAAGCTATTAACAATTATACACTAACATAACAATTATACACTATGCAACACATTCCATCTTTGCTCCATTTTTTGAGATAAAAAATAATAATCACATGTAGCAACCAACCACAAATAATCAAAATTTACAATTTATATATTATGTGCCACATTAGTCAAGACTTGGGAATTAAAGTCAATAAAATATTTGAATCACAAAAATTAACAAACAAACAAGAATATCATCAAATTAGGATTACAATTGGATTTAGGAAGACTTGAGAGATCCATGACTATGACGGTGACTCTAATTTTTTTTTTAATTTTATTTGATTTTTTAAGTGACCTCTCTAGAAGAGGGAAAGTCCATGCCTCTTCTTACAAATGTGTGTGGATCAGAGAGAGAGAGAGAGAGATAGAGAGAGAGAGAGAGAGAGAGTCATGTTCGAAAGCAACTCAAGCAAGCATAAAGATATTTTCGATGATTTGAATGACCAATACATGTGTATAGATCTTGTATTTGTGGAGGGAATTGTGAATACTATAGTCATTAATGTATATAAGGTTATTGTAAATCAATCATGTAAGGTTTCCAAATTTGGCCAAATTATACAAAAAGAGAATCCATTACTGAACAGTTCTGATAAAAAATTGTGAGTTCATTAGTCAAGAGAAGATAAAGGTGACCTTAATGCTTTGATGATCCTCAAAACACCATATGAGCTTTTGGTTAACAACAAAAGATAAATATATAAATAAATAAATAAAAGATGTGATAGAATCCATTTAAAGAAAGAATAAAATAAAAAAAAACTAGAAGACACGAACTTTGAAATTTTACCAGAAGGGAAGCCAAACTCTGCCTCAAATAGAGGGACCCAAGAAAAAACCTCACCCAACCTGCGAAAGGAATATTTTTACGCTGTGTTTGGTTGGGGGATTTGGGAAAGGAAATGGAAAGGGAAATGGAAATGAAAGGAAAAGGAGAAAGAATTAATAGAATTCCAAGTCCCAACTATGTTTGGTTGTGTTGGGAATCCAAGGAGGAAAAGAAATCATTTCTCATGAACTCTCTCATTGTCCTTCACACACAGAATTGTTGTAGTCATGAATTACAATAACAAAAAATAAGGTTGCACATGATCAAAGTGCTATTTGTTTTTTAGAAAAAAAAAAAAAACAAAACAAAACAAAACAAAAAATTAATTAATTTTTTTAAAAAAATTGGTGAGCATGTAGTTATTTTTGTTATGCTTTATTTACTTCGGATGCGAAACTAAGGTAGAAATGATTTGAATTTTTATTTGGGTTGCATTTCAAAAAACATATATATATATATATATATGTTATTTTCTTCTAATTTTTCTAATCCAACCAAAAATGTACGAGAATATAACAACCACATCAATCACTAGAGCACAGAAAAAGTGAAAACATATAGTCAAACACTAAAATTACATAGCTCAACTTTTTTTTTCTTTTTCTGTTTTTGAGAACATTGAAGATGCATATATGATTGAATTTCCCAGCAAACAAAAGCATATGCGATAGAGAGAAAAATTATGCTCATGCAAAGAATAATTCCACAGAGAGGGGATTTACATATATTTATATATGATATTATTATATTGTTGGTTGCAACCATGAAAAAATGCTATGCTGCTTATAGACAGACACAAACCAGCATCATTGGTGTGTAAATAAAACAGCATTGATGTGGAATTCTGAACCAACAAACACCAACTTTTGACATATTGTAAGTAGCAAACCAGCCCAAACACATGTAAAACTACAATAGTATACTGATATATTAACAATAATATAAAAGCATTTATATATTAGTGGAAGAGCTTCCCCTCCAAACTTGATAAAGTTTGAATTGCAGATTTAACAGACAGACACCAATTTAAATTGAACATAATGATGATTCCAAGAGTTCTATTATGATGATCAGAATAATCTCACAAGCATTACCAAAAACAAAAAAAAAAACAAAAAAAACAAAGAAATAACATCAATGTATCATAGTGCAGCAATGCATCACAACCACCTACAGACAGCTAGCATCAGCAACAGCATAAGTGCAGAACACCAAACCAAAGCATAAGACAGCATCAGCAGTAGAACATCAAAACCAAGACACCAGACTCATCCACCAATATAGAAAACATAACATCAATGTATCATAGTGCAGCAATGCATCGCAATCAGAATAACAGATTCATCTACCAAAATAGACTCACCACCAACTAATAGAGTCTACATACAAAAAATCCAAGCCTAATGATATTTTCATAGATTCACCACATCCCTGAAATATTCAAATAAAAAAGTACCAACGAAAGAAAAATAGTACTACGCATCAAAGATTGAAGATCCGAATTTAACAGACAACCAAAGACCTTGGCGTTCAATAGGGCATTCTAGGTACGCTCGAGCATCACTCACTTCTTTAGCAAGAACTTGATACACCTTCATTCGAGAAGCATCACTCATGCCACTAACCTTCTCAATCTCCTCAAATAATTGTCCAATTGTGTAGTTCCGAAGGTTACCACGATCAAGCGCTGCTGCAACTGCATCTAGACCTTCCTTAATTGACCTTATTTCCTCACTCAGAGTGTCACCTAATTTATTCTTTCTCTTCTTTGAGTTAGAGGAACAAGATACTTCAGCAGTTTGGTTATCTTGAGTTCCAATCCCATCAAAATTCTCTGAGAGTGACTTAGTATGATCAGTATTTTCATCATCCAAAAGAATTTGTTGCCCAGCCCAACGAAGTCGCTTTTCTTTTGGACCTATAGCAAGACTCCCAGCTGCTCGATCCTTTTCGAAGAGTTGACATAACTTTTGAAAGTTTTGAATCGGAGCATGTCGAAATTGAGAAGCTTTAGGCTTTGCCTATAGAGAATAGCATATATAATATTATATTAAATAATGATGAACAAATATTGTAATTTTCTAGTACAGAACTATATCAATCTAACAATTAGATATACCTTGAGGTAAGTTGCCCATACACCTGCTGTAGCTTCAATCAGTTGTGTTGAATGATTATATCCAAATCCACTATTAGTTGTTAACATATCTTTAGCCATTGCAAGATTCCTTTTTAAAGTCTTCAACCGATTCCTTACATGACTGGAATCACAATGTACACTAAACTTGGTACTCACCACATTGCTTGCAGCTCTATAAGCAGATGATGTAAAACTACCACCAATTTTTTGCCCTTTGAGCATTTGGTCCAAGAGTGAGTCAATAAGAACAACATCCATTTGATTATTCCATTTCAAATGTTTCTTGTCAATTTCTACTGAACATTCTTGGTCACCTTCCACCTACACTCAAAAATGCCATAAAACATATCGGAAGAAGAGCATAGCTAGTAGCAAATTATCACCCAAACAAACGCAATGTTTCACATAATACAATAACAAATTAAAATATAATTCATTCCAAGATAACATTCAAATAATAATAATTAACTTGTCAATTTTTTGTTTTATCAGCAAACGAAAAATATTATATTGATGTAAAACAAATGAGTACATAATGGGTACATCATAAGAACAAGAACAAGAACAAGAACATCAAATAACCCTTCTAGCCCCTCTCTGTTTTCCAAAATCCATATTATAATTTGATTGTCATTGAAGATTTATATCATAATCTCTCCACATGTCAGTAGCTATTCGCTCCCTTAACAATTCTCCTTCCCTACATTCTTCAGCTAAACTTGATCTAGCCACGTTAGATTGCACTTGTGCTCTTCTAAGCTCTGTATCAACCTCCTCAATAAGACTTTCATTGGGATCAACACCCATGAGGTAGTTGTGCAAAATACAACAAGCCAAAACAATATCTGCATGAGTGTCAACATCATAATATGGCTCTGTCCCACTTCCTAAAATTGGAAACCTTTTCTTTAGGACACCAAAGGCTCTTTCAATTGCATTTCGCAAAGATGCATGACGAGGGTTGAAAAGCTCTCGAGAATTTTCTGGTTGATGAACACTATACTCCTTCAAATGGTAACGAGTACTTCTATATGGAGCAAGGAACCCAGTTTTTAGTTGAAATCCTGCATCTACTAAGTAATATTTCCCTAGGACCAACAAGTAACTAAATGATGTTAGTTTGAAAGAAAACAAAAATAGATTTATATTCATTAGCATATATACACGTTCAGTGATCACCTTGAGGAACGATCAATTTATCCATTTCTCTTGTTAATGCATTATCTAATATTCTCGAGTCTGAAGCAGATCCTTCCCATCCCGGAAGGATATATGTAAACTTTAAATCAAAAGAACATGCAGCCAAAGCATTTTGAGTGGGATAGCATTTTCGTCCAAAGTATCTTTGTGCATCCTTGTTTGGCACTCTTACACGAAAATGTGTACCATCAATCGCACCAACACAATCCTGTAAAAATTCATTATTTGTATCCAAACATATAATATTATATACCCTAATTGCATTCATGTAACTACCTTAAAATAAGGCCAATACTTGGGATTGTTTCTAATCTCTGGAGGGCAGTTGAATCCATCAGGTTGCTTTAAAAAGATATCTTCCAATGATATAATGGCTTTAAGAACTTGATGAAAATGTCGACTAACAGTCTCACCTGATCGTCTATAAAAGAACTTGATCGTACGGTTCCTCAAATTATGGCCAATTATATGAAGGAATTTTGCAACTTGTTCTTCTACTTTACTTTGAGGATTGTCTCTAAGAAACTGAGTTCTTTTAAGCATGCTAACTAGTGTGGCAAACGCATCTTTGCTCATGCGTAACTGGCTACGACAATCTGCATCTTCCAAAGTCGTTAGCCGTTTAATTAGGGCATATCTTTCATAATCTCCTTGTTCTGAAATTGACTTCCTTATATGATCACGACAATGAAGAATTGAGACAAGGCTGACAGCATATGAAGCATACATAGCTACACAAGTGGCTGCCCACTTTCTATACTTTTCCCACTCCTCTTGATCATTTATCTACAATTTTTTAATATAAAAAATCACATCCACTTGTTAATAATGTTCCAGAATTGAAATGATACTTCAAAAAGTTCATAGACTAGGCAACACTCAAAATGACAACCCATTTGATTGGTTAACTTGAAGCATGTAAAAATGAATAGGAGACAACAAGTTGATGCAGAAATATGAATTAATAGGCCTACTTTATCTTTTTTAAATGGTGTTACATTTGAATTCTTCCTTGGTCAAATGGTAAACTATTTGGATGTTAATCAGGAAAAAACTCCAAGTGCTAATCAGGTCCCAGGTCTTATGTATTAAGTTGCTAAACTATATTATTCCAAAATAAATCCAAGAATCAACCGTAGCATTAAGTTTAAAAAAATCTATCATGAACTCATAGAACTATTAATTTGTTTGTGTAGGAAATCGTGATTGAATCAGCAGCAGCAGAACCAAAGACAAATTGAAGCACAAACTCAGAAATAAATAAGAAGCTTGTCCTATTCAAATTAGAGTTTTATAGTTCCAGTTTATGTATTGATATTGTATTGTTTCTACTTTAATGCTGGAAAAAACTCAAAAAGATTGGAATAGTAAAAGGCTAAATTGTGTACAGGTATTGAGCTGTCTTAGTGGGCACATCTGTCACTCTTGTAAAACTGAATTAATGTAGAAGTGTAATTTTCATTAGTTGTCATCCATCTATTGCTTAAGCTATGATTAGACTTATAATGAATTAAACAAGATGCATGTATCCCTCCTCCCAACAGAAAAGGAGAAACAACAAACATATGGATCCAAACAGAAAATGGCATTGGCAGTGAAATACATGAGCTAAACATTGAAATTTCCATCTTATAAAGAAGAGTAAAATAAAGGATACAAATTTCTTACAAAGGCAGCACAAAATGAACCCCACTTATTGTCATAATCCTAATAAAGGCTTCATAAATGCCTAATTCAGGATCACTTGTGAAGATGAAAACTGCACAGAGTGCTACAACCAGTGGTGGACCCAGAAATCATGAGTAGAGGTGCCATGTTAACTCAAAATTAAAACAGTGAATTTGTTATGAAATGAAAACAGAACCATCTAATAGTAATGACATTAGCAAATTCTCCAATATGACAATAGTCATTATCAAAAATGAGGCATTCAAATGCTTGCAATCAACGAAAAAGGTCCAGTTAGACTGTTAAAGGAACGTGTGTGGGGAGAACACAAAATAACCTGAAACTCATCAAGGAAAAAAAAAAACTAAAAAGAATACAACTTCTAAGCCTTGAGGAACCCTTAGCACGTTTTAAAATTCTGACTTCACCATTGTATGCACTATTCTAGTAATGAAATATGTTTAATTTGCCTGTGGTGGTTGAAATAATGAGAAGTTTTCTTACCTAAATGAATGCTTTCTTCAATGACAATGATATCCACTCCAAGAATTCATGTTGGTTAATTATAAACTTTTTTTGGTTATTGGAGGAAAGAGGAAGTCAAATCTGTAACCTCCTAATGAGATACTATACCAATATTTTTTAAATTTATTTTTTCATTTGTTTATTATTATGTTCATAATAGATTAGGGAGTTGTTACTTAATGATGACATGAAGAGGGGCCTCCAAAGCATTATATATATCTGAACTTCCTAGATTGAGAAGCAATCCTAATTCCTAAAACATTTAACTTTAAGAGAAATATTATATGTTATTAATTTTTTATATTTTTTTATCGCTTATGTGAATATTTATGCATTAGTTCTTTGTTTAGAAATTATCATTAAATAAATAATGTAAATGAATAATACCTTATCATGAATTCTCGTAATATTAAACAATAAAAAAAAATCCCAATATTATATTGTATGGCTTACATTGTACACAACTTGAAATTCTCTATAATACGTGAAATGATCCATGAACAAGTCTTTTGTTCTTTTCGGTTTGAAAGTCAATTTAAAAATGATTGATGTGTTAAACGCATTTTTATAACAGTGCTAGAGTGAAATTTCTAACAAAAAGAGTTGTTCTATTTTAGGCTGAAAGTTAGTTTGAAACCAAATGGCACAGCAAAACTTAATCGGTTGACATGAAAAACACAACTCTTTTCTAAATTGAAAATTAAATGTGTTCTTTCTAAGTTATGGTTTTTTGTAATATTCTGGGTGAAACATACACACGAGTGAATAAAAATAAGTAAAAAGTAATTCATGAAATAAAATATTTTTGTTTTGATGTGCATCATTTTTCCCTATAAATTATGAAACCATTTGTAAGTATCTTTGGCATTAAGAAGCACTTGTATGTAACAGATTGCTTTATTGAATGTAATGATTGTGATACCTATATGCCTCAAAGTGAGATTGTCGTTGTTCAGAAATTGAAGCTAAATTTTTTGACACAAATTACAAGTACTGCTCGATTGAATATTAAAGGGTATTTTGGGTTGCATTTTGATATCAATAGTCATTGTGAAATGTACATCATGCAATGATAATTATCAACAACAAAAATGCATTAATTTCTGATCGAAAACGAAACTGTGTATGTATATTACTAAACTGTGCATATAATCTATGGGTAATTCTATTACTCTGAACAAATCCATGTATCTATAATCTCTAATTCGTAATAAAATATATATATATATATATATAGGTGTGTGTATGTATGGAATTTTCAATACAGATCTGAGTTTGATGAGAGGAGAAGAGAAAACGAAAGAGGGGCACCAATACCTGATCGAAACTTTCGGGCAATGAATTATCAATCGAGTTTAGTGATTGAAGATCACCAATTGAAGCAGGTGATGATCCCCGATTGGAGCGATTTTCTGAATGATGCTGCGAATCAGAAATTCCTACCAGAGTTAGATCTGCAATTTCACTTCGAACCAAAATTGTAAAGCAACTTGAACATAAATAAACAAATTGGTGGAAATCAATAGAGATCTGAGTTTGATGAGAAGGTAAGAGAAAATGAAAGAGGAGCCTAAATACCTGATCGAAAAATCCAGGCAATGAATCTTCAATCGAGTTCATTGATTGAAGATTACCAATCGAAGCAAATGATGATCCCTGATTGGAAGGGTTTGCTGAATGATTCTGCGAATCAGAGTTTGCTACCGGAGTTAGATCTTCAAAACTCGTCGATGGTGGTTTTTTGAAGCTACTCATGAATGGTTTCCTGCGAGAAGCCATGAACAATGAAACTCTTCTCTCCCCGATAAATTTTTCCCCTCAGTTTTCCAGGTCTTTTCTCACAGATATAAAATAGAATTGATGTCCTAAAAGGTCTCCTATTTCTTTATTTATTTCTCACCCCCTTTATTTTCCCATATATTTTTTATTATAACCAAACATAAATAGGATTACATTTCTCATTCCTTTTCCAAATCCCACCCCAAAAACCCCAACCAAACACAGCATTAGGGCCCCATCACAAGGCTCAACGAGTATATAAACCATCTCAACCCATCCATCAATATCACTAATCTCAATGAAACATTTAAACAAACACTTGCAAAGCATTATATAAAATCACAACATAAATACAGGAAAAGAAAATCACAACTATCCCTTTATATTAAAATTGTTGAAAATTAATAAATTCATGGGTTAGAAGCTTACAGCCCCAGATTGTATCAAGTTTTATGCGTAAAACCAGATCATAAATAAGTGACAAACTTCTTCGGTCTCTTTTTTGGGCCGGCTGGCCGCCGCCTTTGGCTATGGCGGTCGGCTGGCCTAGCTCGCTTTTCCCTTTGTTTTGTTAGTTTGTCTTTTCAATAATATTGAGTCCCCCGGTTCTACCCACCTAAGTGTGTTTCGTTGCTGCGGGAGAGTGTTTGGTGTGTTTTCGTTTTGTCTTCAGTTTGTCCTCATGTGTTTCAACCTTGTCGTAATATCTGATTCAGCAGGGAGGTATTTCACTCGAGCGCTCTTTGGCGAGTAGGAGTTTGAGGGGTGCGCTTTTTGGGTGGAAACAAGGGTATCGTAGGCATTCCAGTTTCTATCCGGTTGTCACTCGAGCGCTCCTCCTAGAGTGAGAGTTTGAGGGGTGAAGTTCTACCATTTGTTTGGAGGTGTCCCAGCGGGTGGTCGATGTTCGGTGGGTGTGCGGATCCGCGGCGTGAGATTGAAGACCTGTTGGTTATGGAGTTTGGCAGAGGGTATTGGGTGTGAGTTAGAAGATGATGAGAGGAGAAGTAGCAGCATGGAGTGGGCACTGGGCGTTTGGCAGAGGGTATTGGGTGGCGTGAGATTGAAGACTTGTTGGTTATGGAGTGTGGCAGAGGGTATTGGGTGTGAGATTGAAGATAAGGAGAGGAGTAGTAGTAGCTTGGAGTGGGCACTGGGAGTTTGGCAGAGGGTATTGGGTGTGAGGACCTGATGAAGCAGTGGAGTTGATGAAGCAGAGGCATGGGAAGGTGAGGTTTTCATGCGGCAGTAGAGTTGATGCAGCAGTGGAGCTGAAGTTTTCTTCCCGGTGGTGGCACTGGTGTTTTCTCGGCCGGAGTGGGTGTTGGGAGTTCTGAAGTTGAAATCTAGGAAATGCCAAAAATAGTTTTGCTGTTTTAGGAGTTGGAAATTGGGTGTCGCCAGTGTTTGGTTGCTAAGAAAATCTTGCATTGGTAGAGGCGGGAAAGTTAATTTATCTTGGTATGCCTCTCTTTTAGTCCCTCTCGTTTACTTTTTGATGGGTTAAGGTTCAGATTTCTCAGCAGCGTGCTAACAAATTTGGGTTCAAGAATTATTTGGTGTTATTATTATATGGTTGATTCTATTTTTTGTTTGTTTGTTTTTAATTTTTCTTTTTACAATTGTTTGAGCTGAGTTTTCAGAATGAGATTTTTTTTTTTATATATATATGGTCTCTCATATTAAGATTTTATAATATAAAAGATATGAAATATTCTCATAGTAATTGGGGTCTTTTAAATCTTTACGAAAAAATTTCGATTTAGAGAAATTTTGAAATACAGAGAAATTTGTCTGGTTTGCTCACAAATTCCTTATGTTTTGACCAATTTTGTTTGATTTGCTCTCAATTTTCTCTATGTTTTGAACAAGACAAAGAAAATTACAGAGAAAATTGAGCTTCTCACAAATCAATTTTTCTATAATTTTTGCAAGAAAACACCATGCTAAGTTCATCAAAGAACTTAAAATACATAATCTAATTACAGTTTAAAAAACAACAAACACTATACATCTCAAAAGATTAAAAGCAAAATTTGAAATTAGAAATCCAATGAAAATCAAACAAGCAACATAAATTAGTGGGAACTTAATGTGGGCAGGGAAAATCCAAATGCCAAAGAAAATTCGAGAGAAAATCAAAGAGACAACCAGCTAGAGAAAATCAAGCAAGGCACAGAGAGAAAGAGAGTCTAATGTGTTCAGAGAAAATTAATCTAAATAGGATATCTTAGTGTCAGAGAAAATTCATCTTAGAGTAAAAATTACACACAAGGAGACAACTAATCAGTGTAAATCAAACAAGTAACCTAAATTAGTGAGAGTTTAATGTTTTCAAGAAAAATTCAAATGCTAGAGAAAATTCAGCCCAAGGAACAACTAATCAGTGAAAATCAAACAAACAACACAAATTAATGAGAGTTTAATGTGGTCAGGGAAAATTAAAATGCCAGAGAAAATTGGAGAGAAAATCAAAGAGACAACTAGCCATAGAACATCAAGCAAAACACATAGAGTAGAGTGAATCTAATGTGTTTAGAAAAAATTGTAATGTCAAAGAAAATTCATCTCAAGAGGAAAATTACACACAAGGAGACAACTAACCAGTGAAAATCAAACAAGCAACATAATTTGATGGGTTAGGAAAAATTCAGAAGCTAGGGAAAATCAATCAAAATTTTGGCCCAAACTTAGAGAAATTTCTCCTGACTAAGAGAAATTTTGCCCAACATAGAGAAATTCAGAGAAATTTCTTTGATTTTTTTAGTGTTTTGGAAATTTCTCTGGTTTGAAGAAATTTCTTTATGTATTATACGGAGGAGAGAGAGAAGAAAAAAATGGAATAGTTTCTTGTCAACCCTTTAATTCTTCCCCTCTATAAGTAAGTAATTCAACAAGTGATGCATATATGTCTTACAAATATATATATATATCGTCTATACAAAAAACAGGAACATGGTCACCAATATATTTATCATTCAACTTTATATCCGCTTTTAAGTACACTAGAGTTAAGAAAAAAATATACACCCGATAGCTATGGAAGCTTGAGGATGTCGAATTGTAGAAGAAGAGGCAGATAACAGAGATATCATCCACTATCATATCTAGTTTTTTATGTTTCCAAGCACAAACTACGTGTTAAGACTAATCTTTTAGCCGATTATTTCCGAAACACCACCATAAATATCAATCCTTCTTTTATATATCTAATATATAAAGAGTGTGTGTGAAAATCCTAATCAAAAATTTGCAGTGTCAACCAAAATTCACAAATATATACATATATAGATATATAGAGAGAGAATACAGAGGCTGAAGAGAGAAAGAAATAGAGATTTATAGATATATAATGATTTTTTGACATTTTAACTAAAATATGTAATCCCTAAACAAGGCCTTAGGATAAATTTGGCAACATCAAATAGTAGTTAAAAAGTTCAAAAATCATTAAAAAAGTTAAAATATCAAATAATTATATAAAAAAGCAAATATTTTTTTAATACTTTTTGTATATTTTTTTGTAAAAAATTATCTTAAACGTATTGTTTTTTTTGATATCATATTTTAATTAAAAAATAAAAAATTATTAAAATAATTTATTCTCAAATCAACTATTAATTATGTAAATAATATTATATATTGGTTTCGTTTGAGATGTAAATTGATTTTTTATTTTTTTTAACTTTTATAAAAGAATAAATAAAATAACTGTAATGTTTTATTTTATTTAATTAAAATAACTAATTTTATCTAACATTACTATTGTGGTCCAAACTTTACTTCCCAAAGAGAGCCATTATAACCTATACATAGGTACTAGTGTGTATATATATTGAGTGTTTTTGTAGCTCATTGATGAGGAATAACAGATAACGGTAGTTTCATATTGCAGGAGTACATCTGATCTGACACATACAGCTTTTGCATGCAATGATCATATATATATAAGCCTATTTTAGAAACTAAAAAAAAAGTTATTAATTTATTGACATATTTAAATTATATATTATCTTTTTATTTTTTCATATTCATTTTATTTCAAAAAATTATTTATTTATTTCATTTTTAATTATTTCAAAATATTAGTTCATTTTTAAAAATCAAAAATTAAAATAATATAAAATTTTGATTTTACTCTTCTTTTAAATTTACCAACAACACAAAAAGTACAATTCTAACAATTGATATTCTAAAAAAAAATATTATCAAAAGGTAATTTTAAAAAATTAATTTTTTTAAAGTATAATAATAATATCAGTAGTGATTGAGAGCCCGAATTCCTCCGCCCCGAATGCCCCTAAACCACGAAACGACGTCGTTTCGTGGTTTTAATTTTTTTTTTTTTCTTTTCAGCAGAAGAAGGGAGACGAAGACGGAGGAGGGGGAGGGGGAAGGAAGACGAAGACGGAGGAGGAGGAGGGGGAGGGGGAGGGGGAGGAGGGGGACTGGAGGGGGCCTAAAAAATGGGCTGGAGGCGGAGGCGGGGGGCGCGGCGATCGGCGATGGCAGAGGCGACGAGCAGAGGCATGGCGATCGGCGACGGAGGCGGAGGCGCGGCGATCGGCGACGGTTCTGCGACGGATCGGAGACGACGGCGACGGCGACCTCTTTCTCTCCCTCTCCCTCTCCCTCTTTCTCTCCCTCTCCCTCTCCTCCCCCTCCCCTGCAGGTCGAACGAAAATGGCAGGAAAAAAAAAGCCTAATGCCCAAAACGACGTCGTTTTGGGCATTAGGGGGATTAGGGGGGCTCATTTTTGAGCTCTCAAGCATTATTCAGTAATTTGTAAGCAATTAGTAATATGCAATAACTAAAAAACTTGTTGATCTGTATATTAATAACGGTGACCAAAGTAGTAGTCGCCAAAAGTGGATATTTGCCGACTATTTTTTTGGTAGCTAAAGAATAACAGTAAAAATAGGTCGGTTATTTGGCGACTAAACTTTCTTTTGTCGGCAATAATAAATATACAATGACTAAAACAGAATTTAGTAGCCTAAAATCTAGCCTTACGCCGA